TCTCCTTTCATACACTACTAAAATTGAGTTGATGAACTGTGCAAGGAAACAAGTTGGTTATAATATGACTGTTGCACCAATTACTTAGAACCGTATTGCTGGATTGATGTATTGTGAGAGGTGTTTCACAACTGCTGGTTGCTCTCACTTCCATAAACTGCATTGCTGATTCATAGAACTGTGTCTAGAGAGATATCCTGTTCCAATCTCCCAAATTCACATGCGGGTTCACTTCATCCTATTAGTAGCCATTTCTCAAACCATTGCAACTACAGACAAACAAATTACGTATCAAGTAACCAATTGTATTGCTTATACTCCTACCCCAAATCCAATCTAGCTGTAGGAAGATCCTACTCACCGGTTACATATGCAGATCTACTTCCAACTCTTTACTGCTACTTCCTCCAACCCAAACTACAGAGACTGATAGCTCCAGATCCTGCTGCCTCCTATAGCATCAGGGTAATACATCTCCACCACATAGGAATAGGGGTATATGATGTGTAACGGTTCCCCTTGGTACTGAGTGCATTGGGGTTCCGCAAAACTGAGCCCAAACATTACACTTCACACACACTCCGCAGCTGAGATCCGCATTAGACATAACCGTCGACTGTTACAACATGATGGAGCTCAAGCTGGAGATTCAAAGGGAGTGATGAAAACATTGTGGGGAATTTATTGAAACTGGAGCAGACAGAATTTGTAGCATTTGGCCAGAGCAACAAATGAGATTCCCTTTCAGTTTGTTCACCTAAGCTTGGAAAATAAAAGAACTAATCTTGGAATCTTGAAACTAATGAAAGATTAATGACTAATATGACCACATTTGGTCCTCTACAGTTTGGGTGAGTTTGCCAAATTTAATATTTGTGGCCAGCAACAACGGCCACAACAGGCCAATGACATTGCAGCAGAATGGCTGTGTTGTGTGCCTAAATTCGATCCAGCACATATGTATTCCAGAATCCTGCTGCACTCCTTACTGGGTATCCCTGTCAGCGTGGGTGCTCGAAGTGACCGCGGATGGCGCCGTCAATACTGAAACTTGTTAAAGATGTCACCAGCTGCCACCGGTGCTTCAATATGGTGTGCTGGTGACATCTTTAATAAATTAGATACAGAGGCACGTTGCCCATTGCACGACGAAAAAAAAAAGGTTAAAATAAGACATGACCATACAGAACAGGAGAAACACAGCATGAGAAACATACATGAATACGTCAAAACACAATGTTGAGATAAAAAAGCACAGACACATACACACATGGATTCATATTTATCGCACTGTAGTGTCAGGAGTAAACACTCCTCTGGTAACACACTTTTCCTTAGAATGGTGTCTTGGAATACAATTCTGTGTCTGCGGTCAAAGGCCTCCACTGACATTCTTGTAACGTTATCAGACTTCTCAGGATATACAGTAGATGTCAAAATAACCCTTAGATGTGTTAGGATTGGATAAACCCAATTAGTGTGGTTTCTCTGCTCCTGTATGTGTATTTCGATCTTCCTGAGCAACAGAACATCCTCCATCAAACTGATGATATCTCACTGGCTCATGTCTCTATGGAGAGCTTACCAAATATTACCTTTGAACTTAGAGAATAGCTGACCAGCTTCTTCCGAAGCTCAGTAGCGCAACCAAACTTTGGTGCACAAGATATTTTGTCTAATCAGTTGGAAAAGCATTCTGGGTAGTTTATGTGTTAGGATTATGTATCTAAACACATATGCCTATAAATGTGCATCATTTGAAGCATCTAGAAGCATAAATACAGCATCTAACCTGACAGATTTTCTTCTGCATATAGAGGACAATAATGCAAGTGACTAGTGTGAATGAAGCCTCACAATAACAAGGGTCACAAATACACAGTAAAATCATTGCTTAGACTTTGCAAAGCAAGAGGCAACCAGATTCACACCTCAATGTGCCACTAACTAGCTTGAGAAATGTCCCCCAGTAACTTTTCCTAGTACTAAATATCTTCAGGCAGCTTGAGACATGTGGTATCTAGATAAAGCTTGGTGTGAAATCAGAGACAGTACTGACATCACTATTTATATTTTGTGTGTGTCACAGATACAAACCCATTTCTGAGAGATGATTCGTTTGCATTTTCTTCATACCTGACTGACTCTGAAGTGTTCTCTTTCATCCGGCGATGGAAATAATAGCGTTACGCACCATGTACCTTAGTTTTCCCTTTTTAGAAGTGTTTTTGTACAGCCTCAATGTTAAGATGTATCACTGTGGCGCACTTTCGGTGCTGGAACCAATGTAGAGATTAAACGTAAGTACATTTGTAAATGTAACTTTCACATAGTGCCTTTTTCTGTATTCTATTTGTCTTTTTTTCTTGCAGATCTCATTTATGTTTTTTCCCCAATGATGTGTTGTTAAATGTATGGACCATATTTTAGGTTGTTTATCTTATGTACCCAATTGATATATCTGAATTTGTAATGAACCTTGCACCGTCTTATCAATTTGTAGTAATATAACTTTGTAACCGATTTTAGTTACATCAGACATTCAAAATTTACAGAAAACTCTTTTAAAATGTAGTTAAAAATGGCCCATATTGCATTTAAAAATACGGGCAATTTATTTAGCTACTATCAGTTGGAAACAAAGCTAAATGCTGACTGTAGTGAAGGGTTTTGTACAGCGTGCATAGAGAAATTATCCACTGTGATACACTTTGGGCTTTAGAACTATTGTGGAGATCAAATGTAAGTCCAAACAATTTGGTGTTTATTGCCTTTTCATTTTTACATTTGATACTTTTTTTCAACATGTAATTTATCAGGCTTTAGGAAATAATAAAAAAAAAGGTTTAAGATTGATTCTCTTGTGTACAAAAGCAACAATTCAACCTAGGTTTTGTACAATATGTATTGTAAAATTCCCATGCTGGTATAATTTTGACCCAAAAATAGGCAGAAAAAAGTATCACTTTTCATTGCCAGTAGAAATGAAAAAGAATATATAAATTACCATGCCATAAAGTTGATTATTTTTGACTGCAGTCATTAAAAATATTATATTTTCTGTACCTAATAAACTGTTATAATTAAAAAAAAATTAATGGTAAAATTATGTTCAGCAAAATTGTACATTGTGTTCTCTTTTTAGAGGTCATGAATGTTGGTCATAAAAATTATTTGCTGGCATATTAATAAAGCAGTTAATGGGACATTCACTAAATATTCCCTGTAAGTGAATCTTCCTGTGCAAGTGTTTAAAAAATGGAAATTATAAATTGCCTGGGAATATTTGATAAATGTCACATTCACTTCTTTATAAATATTCTCCCTAGCGATAGCACCGTGCACAGTTTGTCAGTTTGTGCAATGTTTTTTTTTTATTTGGATATCTGTAGTTTTATTGGATGGATTACAATCATCTTCCAGCTGGAAAATAGCACTTGTATTGATATTATGAATTAAAATTACCACATTAGTTAATAGATTGAGTTATAATGGTGAGTTACTTTCTTGGAGATTAAATAAGATTGACTTGAAAAGTAAGTTAATACTCTAATTATAAACATTAATTAAACATTTTATATGAGGCAAGACAAAGATTTTGACATCCTAGTGGCCAACTTGGCTGACTGCAGTGAAGGTTTTTGTACAGTGTGTATAGGGGAAGTACCTACTGTGTTACACTTTTGGTGCTGGAACATTTGTAGAGATTAAACGTAAGTACAATAGTTTTTGTGTTTTTGTATTTATTTGATAGTTACTAACACAATCTAGCAGATGAGACATAATCAATATAAACATTTCATTTGGGCTAAGGTTAAAGTTATATTGTTATATATACACATTATATAAGATGTATAGCTTGTAACCTGCAGTGACTGCAAAATCTTATGTTCCATGCCAAAATAATTCAGCTTTATGAATAATAATTTTTACACAAATTGTACAATATATGTCTGTTACAGAAACATGTTCATGTCTATTTTGCACCCCAAAAACTCTAATGGGACACCTGCTTGTCAAACTATACTAAGTCATGCTTGACTGACTAGAAAGACGTTTCTGTGGTTGATTACTTTATTTATTTATTTTTCTTTTTTCATTTTTCCTTATAAAATTTATATCTATATTTTTTAAGTCGTGAATGTGACTTTCACTAAATATTCACTGCAGGTGACTCTTTCTGGTGCATGTGTTTTAAGTTACAGGGAATAATTACCCACTTGTGAATGTTTGGTGATGTCACAATCAATGTGTTATACATATATTCCCTAGTGATAGCACAGTACCCAGTTCATACACCTAAGTATTTATTTGGCTATCTGTAGTCTTTTATCTTGGGAAACGTAGATTAATTGCATCTTACATCTGGTAAACAGCATTTTTTACATTATTAATTAAAAAGACAACATTGAATGACCGTGTTTTTCTAAAGGTAAGTTACTGAAAATGTTACTGTGGTACTTTCTTGGACCTAAACTAAGATAGGCTTTAAAAGTAAGTTGATACTCTAATTATAAACTTTAATTAAACATGTTTTATGAGGCAAGACAAAGATTTTGACATCCTAGTGGCCAACTTGGCTGACTGCAGTGAAGGTTTTTGTACAGTGTGTATAGGGGAAGTACCTACTGTGTTACACTTTTGGTGCTGGAACATTTGTAGAGATTAAACGTAAGTACAATAGTTTTTGTATTTTTGTATTTATTTGATAGTTGCTAACACAATCTAGCAGATGAGACATATCAATATAAACATTTCATTTGGACTAAGGTCATATTGAGATATATACATTACATAACTTGTATAGCTTGTAACCTGCAGTGACTGCAAAATCTTATGTTCCATGCCAAAATAATTCAGCTTTATGAATAATCATTTTTACACATAATTAAATATTTAATATGGGTCACACAAACATTTTGACATTCTAGTGATCAGCTTAGCTGAGTGCAGTGAAGGTTTTTGTATAATGTGTGTAGGGGAAGTACCTACTGTGGTACACTTTTGGTGGCGGAACATTTGTAGAGATTAAACGTAAGTACAAAATAATATTTGTATTTATTATGTGAAATAATAGTCTCTTACAGCTATATATCAAATATCAAAGGCGGTACTCATTAAGATATGACAATAGTTGAGAAATTGAGTACTTGTAAAAGTTTTATTTAACATTTTATACAAGTCAGAAACAATATTTTAATATTCAAGTGGTCAATTGATAATCAATATTTGCTTTTTAACTAATAACATTTTCCAATGTTGTATAAGCTGTATCTTTTACTTAGGCTATCGATATAATTGATACAGATACTAAGCATGAGAAGCCAGTGTAGGAGACATATCACTTTGGATAGATAGATAGATAGATAGATAGATAGATAGATAGATAGATAGATAGATAGATAGATAGATAGATAGATAGATAGATAGATATTATAAATATTACCTCCAGGTGAATATTCCTGGTACATGTGTTCTGGGTTACCACCTTTGAATTGTTTCTGATGTTAAATTCAATGCTTCATAAATGTGCCTCATATTATGTAATTGTTAAGAAGGGGCTTTATTTTGACGATACTGAAAATATTATACTACTTAGCTAAACCTGAATTTCAGACACTCAGTCAAATGTACAGTCAAAATACAAAGAAGTATTCTAAGAAGTATTCAATATTTGTTATCTTTGCTATATAATATGACTATGGTAAATGAAATGAAAATGTTTCAGTTAAGTGTATATATACACAATTGGGTTGATTTCATGAAGAAATAGAGATTGTTCACTAAGCAAACTGAATGTGTTGATTTAATCCCACCATGTGGAAGCACAAAGCTGCTTTTTTTTTAAATTTCGCTCACTTATGATTGGATATTCAACACAGTATCACCTTATTCAAAAAGCCATTGTCACTTAGCTTGGTTAAAAAAAAAAAACTAAAAAAAAACTCTGTTCACTAAGAATATCCAATGGCGAGCGAGGAAAGATAGTAAAATATATGCTATCCAAAGTGAGCATTGACTTTTACATAGTGAACATTCCTTTGGACGATCAACCCCAACAGTTTGTATGCAAAATCACACATTTCAAAAGTAAGTAATCTACTTATCATTGACTAAGCTAAGTGATCATTGTCAAAAAAAAAAAAATCTGTATTAGCTTTGAAAATACAATCATAAGTGAGTATTTACTTTTACTTAGTAAGCATTTCTTTATTAAATCAACTCCAATGACATGATGGCAAAATTCTCATATTTCAAAAGTAAGTAATCTCCCCATTGGAGAAGATTTACTGAATGAGAGGAATATTGACTTAGGCCAAAGAGGCATTGATAGTATCACTCAATCAATCATATGCAAAGAAAATTCGTATTTCCCTGTGAACAGAGAGTAAGGTAAATGGAACATTTCCTTAACCTGATTAGTCGAAAAATGTGTAAAATGGATAAAATAAAACAAAATGTTTTATCAATCTTATTAAAAGTAACTATAGCTTAAGTAAATATTATGAAAAGTACAATTTTCAAAATTATGGATTCAGGATTTATATAAACATTTTCAACATCCCAGGAAAAACTGAAATACTTCTTCTATATTCATACAATACTGACACTTTTTAATACAGGAAATTCTTCTTCTATCGATATTCAGCAAACAGTCATCGGGAAGGTTTGCTCAATGTAAACTGAACAGTGCATGTAGGGTACATAGGATCTTCCAAGACTCAACGTCCCTATGTAAGGGCCTCATAGCAATGTTGTTATAATTCAACTTCCTTACCCCTCAGCTAATCAACATTCCCTGTCATTAATGTATTTCCTTTAGCCTTGGCTTTGTCCGTTGCTGAATTTTTTCTAGCACTTTTGTTTTACATGTTTGGTTAACATTTTTACATAGATTGCATTTTAATATTCTTCATGTTATATAGATATCAAGCATTTTACAAGCTGCCAGTGCATAGTGAATGAGAATGTATTAAATTGTATTAATTCTGTCCACAATTTGTTTTTCAGGAAGAGAAGATGCCAAACCTTCTGTATCTATCTACCCTGCTGCATTAGAGCAGACCAAGTCAGGAACAGCAAGTGTTGTCTGTTTGGTTCAACAGTTCTATCCAGGAGATGCCAAGGTCACATGGAAAGTGGACAACAGTATCATAACCGACGGTGTTCTAAACAGTGACAACGTCAAGGATACCAAAGATAACACTTACAGTAAAAGCAGCACACTGACTATGACCAGTGCTCAGTATAAAAGTCATGACCTCTACAGTTGTGAGGTCACACATAAAACACTGGCGTCAGCACTGGTCACAAGTTTCAAGGCTTCAGAATGTAATGTTTAGGGTCCAACATCATCCTATGGACTCCCAATAAAAAAAAAAAACTTAGGAGTGTTTTCTCCATTTTTTCTATTTAAAATACTGCATACATTATGTTGATGTATCACATAATATGTTTTTTTTTTCCTTGTGATCAGATAACACAAATGCAATAATAACTGTTATTTTAAGTCATCTTATCAATTCAAAGAAGAAAAAAAAATATGTATGTTTTGCTTTTGTCTTATATGTCAGAAAAATAAATAAAAAAAATTCTGCTTCATCCAAGTCTATGATTTAAGCATAAAACAAAACCACAAGGGTAAATGAATCATTAATTTGTAAAACTAACATCATAAACAACTTTAGCAGGGGTATTTTAAAAAATAAAAGGGACAATTTAAAATGAAATATGGATACCGTTCTTTGCTGGGTACTGCAGTATTACTTCACACTGCAGCTTGCATTTTTTAGCCCATTCATGAAGTGTAGGTCATAAAGCATGCAGTGTCCCATGAAGTTCTCTCTGAATAACACTAAGGGAGTTAGGGAGTGATTGGAATAAAATTATTTTGACAAGTCACATGTCCTCTTCTCAGCTAAATGGAACCCTAAGAGAACCAATATCAGTGGACAAACACGTGTTTCCTATCATATTAAATACCCATTAGGTATACACAGTAATCCAAACCTTTTCAAGAACATTGGGAGAATTTAGATTAAGTTTTTTGATTGTGGCTTTGGTACCTCAAGCCGTATCCAGATTTGTATTTACAACAAAGTACAAGTGGGCCGGCTCTTAGAGTATCCGGGTAATAGAATGTTACATCAGAGTACAACATTCACAATGTGTGAACAATTTTATGGTCCAGCAGAGTACAAACCCGCCATAGGATAGAGTGGAGAGGGCTGTATGCGTGTGTACACTATGCAGTGATGATTGTGGCAAATGGCTGATGGCCGCACACCAGACATTTTGCTGGATCATGGACAGGGAAGTATAGGACTGGGAATGGTCTGGGGGTGAGGTGGTTAGTTAATTACAATGTAGTTGCATTAAGGGCACAACTACATCTTAATTGTAAACTCCATCATACACTTAGCCAATTCCTTAACATTTAACCTCACCCTATCACTCTAACCCTAGTACTAAAGGAAATCTTTAAGGTTCTTTAAAAACCAACTCCAGGCAGCAAAACAATTACCCTTGCAGTGCCCCCCCCCCCCCCCCCCCCCCCC